TTCTTGGGAGGGTTCCAATGGTGTTCAATGTCGTTATTGTGTCTCCGCATGGTTACTTCGGTCAAGCAAATGTCTTGGGTCTGCCTGACACTGGAGGGCAGGTATTCTTATAAATTCTACTTATTGTTTATGCATTCAGTTAAAATTGGGGACATTGATACACGCATCAAGTGTTGTTTTTTTGTCTATATGTCTTCAAGACTTTGTACTTCCAGCTATCTATAATTTTGAAAATAACAAATTGTACTGTTACTTATGATACACAGATCGTTTATATACTTGATCAAGTGCGTGCTTTGGAGAATGAGATGCTTCTTAGAATACAAAAGCAAGGACTGGATGTCATCCCAAAAATTCTCATAGTAGGTTTTCTAAAATTTCCATCTACTTAAAAGTTCAGCCAACCTATGTATTCACTCTCTTTTGCATTCACTGAGTTTTACATAAATGGCTGTATTAATTTATGAACAAATGGTGGTTTAAGGTTACCCGACTCATTCCGGATGCCAAAGGGACGACATGCAACCAAAAAATAGAAAGAATAAGTGGAACAGAGCACACAAACATACTGCGAGTGCCTTTTAGAAATGAGAATGGTATTCTTCGTAAATGGATTTCAAGGTTTGATGTGTGGCCATATTTGGAGACTTTTGCTGAGGTAGGTACTAAACAGTGTTATATTTGTTTCTCTTTTCCTTCCAATTGGTGTTAACAAATCAGAGCTTGGATTACATACCCTTGATGCTGTAGGATTCTTGGTTATGAATTCTATTACGTAGGTGAAGTGCTAATGCGATTGAACTACTGGATTTATAAAAAGTTTTTAAGTTTTGGGCATGTAAATGTTAATTCTTAGTAACACAAGATTGAAAGGTTAGTACATCATGTGCAATTTTTTTTAATAAGAACTTATCATAAAATCAATATATGTTAGATTGAAAGAGAGAATAAGTGGAAACAGATATCTGGAATGCATTTTTATAGAAGCTATTATAAGCGGGCTAGCTTATATCTTTCAAGTTTGACATTTAAAAAGCTGTAGGAGTGCAGAATTCTGAACTTACAGCATGGTAATCATTTCCTAATTTATTAAAGAAGAAAAACAGGAGTGGACTGTGTAATAGCAGACGAGTGTTCCATATTTTGTATGCTTTCTCTCATAACATGAAAAGGTTATATTTCACTCTCTTTTTTTGGCTGTTGCTAGGATGCATCAAATGAAATTGCTGCTGAGTTACAGGGTGTTCCAGATCTGATCATTGGCAACTATAGTGATGGAAATCTTGTTGCATCCCTTTTATCATTTAAGCTAGGAATCACACAGGTTTGCTGTGATTTTTCCTAATTTATTTTCAGATGATAAAAGAATTGGTATCTGCAAGAGGCCATTTCTTCTAGTTTTAATTTTATTTTTCCTGCTCTATTAATGTAGTGCAACATTGCACATGCCTTGGAGAAAACAAAGTATCCTGATTCTGACATATATTGGCGGAAATATGAGGACAAGTACCACTTTTTAAGTCAATTTACTGCTGACCTTGTTGCAATGAACAATGCAGACTTTATTATCACCAGTACATATCAAGAGATTGCAGGGAGGTAAGTTCTGTGTTTATTAATTTGCAATGGAATTGAAATTCAAATAACCAATTGTCCTTTGGCTTGAATCTCAGTTTGCTACCCTACTATATTTGTTTCTGCTATTGCCTTTCGAATGTGCTTCTACTGAAGTCAAATAAACTATATTTTTAGTTTGAAATTCTGTTCTATATAATTAAGTTCATTATGATTTAGTGGAGTAACCAACTATTGAAGTCCTTATAACCCTTTGCCCCTTTGTTCTTCAGAGATCCTACTTCCTTCACTTCCCACTTTATTAGCTCTGTTGCTTATCAAGTTGCTTACAGTCTCTGTTTTGTACCTCAGCAAGAATAATGTTGGACAGTATGAGAGCCACACAGCTTTCACGCTTCCTGGGCTGTATCGAGTTGTTCATGGCATTGATGTTTTTGATCCCAAGTTCAATATCGTGTCCCCAGGGGCGGACATGTGCATATATTTTCCTTACTCTGACAAGGAAAGAAGGCTTACTGCTCTACACGGTCCAATTGAAGAACTTTTGTATGATCCTGAGCAGAATGATGAGCATGTGTAAGATCTTACTATCTGAAGTTCCATTTCGTGTGATTTTGCGGCCTGTTATCTGTCATTTCATTTATGATTCTTGATGTTCAAGGCGTAGTTTAAATTGCTTCAATTATCACAAGAGCCCAGAGGCATCACTTAGAGTATCTTTGGCTACCTTGTACCAATCTGGATATTTAACCATCTCAGCAAATTATATAGGAAAGAATATAGTGACTTAATCAACCACAACATACTCTTGAACAAGATACTACGCATGTACATTTTTGTTTGTGTCTTTTTAAACGCGTAGTTACTTATCTATCCCCGTGCAGTGGTATGTTGCATGATCGATCAAAACCCATCATCTTTTCCATGGCAAGACTTGATCGGGTGAAAAACTTGACGGGGCTTGTTGAGTGCTACAGTAAGAGCAGCAAGCTAAGGGAAATTGTAAATCTTGTTGTGGTTGGTGGTTACATCGATGCCAAGAATTCCAGGGATAGAGAAGAAATGGCTGAGATTGAAAAGATGCACAGTCTCATTAAACAATACAATTTGCATGGCCAGTTTCGATGGATAGCAGCTCAAATGAACCGTGCACGTAATGGTGAGCTATATCGCTATATTGCGGATACAAAAGGTGTTTTTGTGCAGGTATGTGACTCATAGATGTGCAAATCCAGTGAAACCACTTGTTTTCAACCATCTTAAGTGTTTGATGTCTAAAAATTCTTTTTCTTTTTTCTAATTTCTTGCAGCCCGCTTTCTATGAAGCTTTTGGCCTCACAGTTGTGGAAGCCATGACTTGTGGGCTTCCTACATTTGCCACTTGTCATGGAGGCCCTGCTGAGATCATTGAGCATGGTATTTCAGGGTTCCATATTGATCCCTATCACCCTGATCAGATGGCTGCTAATCTTATTGAATTTTTTGAAAAGTGCTCAAAGGATCCTAGTTACTGGAACACGATCTCCGATGGAGGGCTTAAACGAATTTACGAAAGGTCCATTTTTTCTTGATAGTCCTGCATAAAAAAAAAAAAAATTAATAAAAATAACCTTTTAGCATACTTGATTGTTATTGATTCAAAATCAATTATGCAGGTATACATGGAAGATATATTCTGAGAGGTTACTGACATTAGCCGGGGTTTATGGCTTCTGGAAGTATGTGTCCAAGCTTGAGAGGAGAGAGACACGCCGGTATCTGGAGATGCTTTACATCCTCAAGTTTCGGGATCTGGTTAGTAATCTTATTTTCTCCCGCCAATTTCTTACCATCAAATTTCTTCACAATGAACTTCACCTGTAATTGTAGTGGATAGTAAGTGTGTTGAATTATTAACCTTTTCGATACTTTGAGATTGAAATCTTATCATTGCTTGTATTTTAAATTTGATTCAGGCGAAGTCCATTCCGCTAGCAGTGGACGAGCAGCATTGAACTTCATCTGAAGAGGAAGCTGTTAGCTGTGTGTGTGCTTCTGCAGCTGGTTTCTCCATAAGTTATCTGTCAAGTTGTTGATTCTGTTGTGAATTTGTCTTTCATTTAGTAGAATAATGTGGTGACTCCTCTTTGATATACACTGAGAGTTTCTATTCTGTTATGCGTCAGGTTCAGTGTGAGTTTTTACTTGTATGCCTCATAAATGTCTTCAAAGCGCCTGTCTGTGCTCAGTAATTATCTCAATAGCTTAGGGCAGTCCTGGATAATTAGATAACTTTTTTAGCTTGCAATCGTAATCAAAGTTAGAATATGGCGCACTTTCAGGCATTAAATCAATGCTGACTTTAGATGTAACTATAATTTATATTGTAAATAAACAATGAAAAATGTAAAGAAGATGTCCTCTATTTATAAGGTTTCTGTTAAATTTGAGGATGGATTAGTTGGCCTGGGCGGTAGATTATTTGAAAAATGTTATTATAAAAAATATTTTCAGTTGAGTAGAATTAGATTAAATCGAATATGATTACATTTTGAAAATGTGTTTGATAAAATATCTAAAAACTATATCAGAGTTGGATAAAATGTTGGAATAGATGTTTGATATATTTTTTTAAAACGATTTTTAAGATAGAATAGTTGTTTGGAATATTTTCTGAAAATATTAATTATTAATTTTTTAACCTTTATATTTGTTAATTTAGCTAAACATTTTTATAATAAAAATTTAAAAATTAACTAAAGCACATCAGTCACTTAAGAGAACACTGGCCACCATCATCGAACGCCAGTTGTTAGAACGGTGTATGATCGGTTATATCTAACCAGTCATGTGTCAATATGGTTGTTTCTGGTTAGAGATCTAGTTGTTGACTCGGCCAAAATCTGGTCGTTCTCAGCTAGATCGATATACGATTGGCCAAATTTAATTGGTCATGCAGTACTGATAGTGGTTGTTGATAGGTGGTGGTGGTCTTGGGTGATAGTGGTTGTTGATAGGTGGTGGTGGTCTTGGGTGGATTAATTTTTCATATTGGCAGAAGAGAGAAATAAGAAGAGATAGAAAAAAAATATTTTGAGTTGAATAGAGTTGGATAACAATTCCCTCCTTTTCATTTTTAGAAAAAAAGAAAAAAAAAATTATTTGATTTAGATTCATTTTAGAATAAGAAATTAAGAATAATAATCCCAGTAAATCAAATACATAATCTATTTTTTAATACAAATAGGAAAACACGGTATCAGCCAGGGGCTTGGATATTTTAAAGAATATAAAAATCTTTATCGTTATCTTCGATATGTATCACTTGAAAAAATTACATACCGCACCGCATCACAGTTATGAGAATAGTCAATTCAGCTTTCAAACTTCCCAATTCTCAATTCGTTGCCAACAGCCAAGCATGCAATCCTTCCGATTAATTAATTTTATCATTGTATAAATAAATATAAAAATAAAAACAATCTCGTAAAATTGAAAAGAAATCTTCAACAAGCGACCGTTCTCGATGTCTCGGGCTTCTTTCTTAGCACTACCCGCCACCGATTAGCCTCCATTTCTCGCTCTATCAGCTCGGTCTTTTCTAAGAATTTTGTTAAAAGAACAAGACAAAGAAGGAAGATATTCGAAGATTCTTTTGATTTTGATTTATTTTATTTATTTCAACGACTGCTTGTTTGGTTGGATTTAGTTGATTGTAGTAATCTGATCAAGAAATTACCATGGCGAGCCGTACAGGGGATCTGGTGAGCCAAGTCCATCCAGCTCACCAGCTTGACCTCGACGTTTTGCTGCGTTACGCCTCTGCTAATGTCTCTGGCTTCCCTTCATCTCCTTCTCATTTCAAAGTCTCTCAGGTTATTTATCTCTCTCTCTCTTTTAATTTTGTTTGATTTCTTAATTTGTTTCTGTATTTACTTGTGTTTTGGTTTAGTTTGGGCATGGACAATCGAATCCGACGTTTCTGTTGGAAGCAGGTTCGGGAGCCACAGTGAAAAGGTACGTTTTGAGGAAGAAGCCTCCCGGCAAATTGCTCCCGTCTGCTCACGCTGTTGACCGGGAGTTTCAGGTGACATTGATTATTTTTCATATTCCTTTTTGTATTTTTATATCGACTTCATTTGGTACTGATCTACTGTTTAACTACTAGTGTGTTTGGAAGTATTCATGGGAGAGTGAGAAGGTAGATATATATGCATTTTTAAAGCGTTTCTATAAAAGAAGAGTTTTTAACGGAAAGCATCTTCCACAAAAAGTACTACCAACAGTACTTTCAGCATTTTCTGTCTACTGAAATATATGTTGAATTTGACATTTATCAGATTTTTATAATTATTACATCTCGAAACACTTCTTCAATAATAAGATTGTAATTTGAGTGTGCACTACTTTTTTTTTTTTTTTTTGTGAAGAAGAAGAAGAAGAAACTATGACAATATCATTGACCGGAAAAATTCTTACTATAGAGTATGAGCTATTTTAATAACACTAGTTATGAAGTCTGACAGGTCTAAAAATCACATGGCCACTTTTTAAAAACCTTTCTCAGTTTTTTCGTGTAATCAATTAGCTGAGGAATTTTGAAATTCTTGATGTGACAGGTACTCCGTGCATTAGGTGATCATACTGCAGTTCCAGTTCCGAAAGTGTTCTGTTTGTGTACTGATCCAAATGTTATTGGAACTGCATTTTACATCATGGAATTTTTGGAAGGGCGTATTTTTATAGACGCTAAGTTACCGGTAATGCATTTGGTCTTTATCTTTGATCGTCAAACTGAACTTGTAATACAAAGACTTGATTCTGATTACTGAAGAATTTGGTCTGGGCTTCAAAGCTTGAAATTACTGTTCTGTTTGATTAGGGTGTGGCACCGGAAAGGAGGAGAGCGATATATCGTGCAACTGCAAAAGCATTAGCTTCTGTACATTCAGCTAACGTAGATGCCATTGGTCTTGGAAGATATGGACGGCGAGACAACTATTGTAAGCGGCAGGTGATTGTGCTCTTTGAAAGTTTTGGCTGTTATAATGCATCATTATTATTTTAATTTTACACAATAGTTTCATGAATTGAGTTAAGGTTGTGTTCTTAATAGAATTGGATTACAGTGCAATAAATGAGAATACTATATTGTTTCTTAAATCTAAGTAGCACTTTTGAATTTTGTGCTTATTTTAGATAGAGAGGTGGGCTAAGCAATACATTGCTTCAACTGCTGAAGGGAAACCTGCTAGCAATCCAAAAATGTTTCAGTTGATTGATTGGTTACGTCAAAATGTTCCACCAGAAGATTTAACAGGAACAACAGCAGGCCTAGTTCATGGGGACTTCCGTGTTGATAATCTTGTATTTCATCCCATTGAGGTCTAGTACTCCTAAAGTCTTAATTAATTCAAATTGTAATTTTTTTTTTTTTTTTTTTTATATATAACTTGGTGTTATATGTATTTCATTTATCCAATATATGATGATTAGCTCTAATTTGCCAGTCTGACATTTAATTATCAGAGAAAATTGGCATGGGATATATTGCTCTTTATACTTCAACTGTTTCTTGATTTTGTCAAAGCTCAAAATATGTGAAATTTCTCAGAAGAACTTACATAATCTGAGTTGCAGATCTGATGATTTATTTATAATGGTTCAGGATCGAGTGATTGGTATTCTCGACTGGGAATTGTCTACTCTTGGAAACCAGATGTCTGATGTTGCATACAGTTGTCTGGTACTAAGCCAATTTTTAAACATCAGTTTTGTCATGGAACGTGCTAGACTCTATTATCTTTTCTTGTTTCTGTATTTCACATGCCTTTCTGTTCTGTTGAAGCTTTCTTTTTGCTAATTGACATATATATCTTTGTCATGTTATAAGTTTTTGTTGTTGACCCTTTTTAACTGATTACTAGTTCCCTTTCTTGGCAGCCTTATCTTGTGGATTATGGGAACGGAGGAGTGGATCAAGGTTTTGAACTTACTGGAATTCCAGAAGGGATTCCCTCACAGGCAGAGTTTTTGGAAGACTACTGTTCCGCAGCTGTAAGACCCATTAAGCAGCTTTGATTAAAATGCCATCTTTGTGCTCTACCTTTTTTTTTTTTTTTTTTTTCTCTTTTAAATTTTTATCATAGAATATTGTTGCCTAAGAGGTATTTAAGGACTCATTTGGAAGATTCTTTAAGTGGTTCTCTTTTTACCACAAAAAGGGTCTACTAGATGTGAGGAGACAGTAAGCATACATCATGTCGGTGCAGCTAAGTGGTACTGATCTTTAAGTGATTAGGTTTTGTAGAGTGAAGTACTCCAAATGTTTTCTAATGGAAAATGATGTCTGTTTGATGTATTGCACTTTAATTACATGTGAACCAGGGATTTACTTGCTGAAAATAATGAATAATTCTATTTAAATAATGGTCTTGATTATTTGACAGGCATTACTCCTTATGAAGAACTTACTTATAACACTTATGTTGCAGGGAAAACCATGGCCTGCTGTAGCATGGAAGTTCTATATTGCGCTTGCCCTGTTCCGTGGGGCATCAATTTTCACAGGCATATATAATAGATGGCTTATGGTATTCTTTGAAGAAAAAGAGTTCGTACTTGAATGTTAAATTTGATTAGGCTTTTGTTATGGAGGATCAATCCATACATATCTTATATTATTTACTGTGATATGCAGGGTAATGCTTCAGGAGGTGAACGTGCTCAGAATTCAGGAGTTCGAGCTAACTGTCTTATAGATTTTGCACTTTCTTTTATTGCGAGGAAATCTGTGCTTCCTGAGTTCCCTCCATCTGGTAACTAAACCATTGCTCAGTGTCATTGGTCTCAGGATTTATTTTTTGAGCATATCATCATGCTTATTTTTCTGAGTTCTGAAAGACATCGACTTCCAATATCGGTTTTTTTTTTTTTTTTTTTTTTTTTTTTTAAATATATATGTGATAGGAGGGGATGTTTTGGTAAGTTCACCACTCGATTCTCTGTTAAGACTTTGTTTGACATTTATTAGTTTCACTATAGCACAGTTTCTTCTTTCATTGAAATTGGTGATTTTCAATGTCCAACTCTCTATGGTTTCTTAGGCTTTTTCTAGCTGGCTTTGGGTTTATGTCTAAGAAGAGTCATGAGTGTAATGGATATGCAATGCAGTGTTCTTATGTCCTTCACCTTTTTTTTTTTTTTTTTTTTTTTTTTCGTAATTGTGTTCTTCACTCTCTTAAATTTGATTTTATCCAATATTACATTTCTATAATCTGTTTGTTTCTGTAGATGTGTCAAAAGGCTTTTCAGAGGAAAGAGGGAGGTTTGTTCCCAGTGAAAGGGTTAAGGTATTGAGAGACAAGTTGATTAAGTTCATGGAAGAACACATATACCCCATGGAAAGAGAGTTCTCTAAACTTGCTCAGTCTGAATCGCGTTGGACAGTTCACCCTGAGGAGGAAAGGTTAAAGGAGCTGGCAAAGAAAGAGGGTTTATGGAACTTATGGATTCCTGTATGTTTCCAGATCACTTCTAGTCATGTTTCTTTCTTTCCAAATTTCGGTTTATGTCCATTCGCTCATGTTGCTCTTCCTAGCTCGAAAGAGATTGATCAGTAATATTTTCTTTTTCCTATGAATTTCTGTTTTGTGCAGTTTGACAGTGCCGCTAGGGTGCAAAAACTAATTTTTAAAGGGGTTGGACATGCTTTCTCTAATGATGGATACAATTCCTTGCTTGGAGCAGGTCTCTCAAACCTTGAATATGGATATCTTTGTGAGATCATGGGTCGCTCTCTCTGGGCTCCGCAGGTCTTTAACTGTGGTGCTCCTGATACAGGAAATATGGAGGTAAAAATCATTTCCAGATTCTTTATTATCTAGGAATTATCAATTGCTATGATGATCACCGTATTGCCTTGCCTCCGGAAGTGCAGATTGTCTTTAGCCTAGAAAAGTTTATCTTGATATGCTCTCAGAAATATAAAATTTAGCAAGTAGAAAATGATTGTAGTCACTTGCATGATCTTATTAGGTGATACATTGTATCAGTAGCTTAAATTCTCTCAGCAAGATAGACTTTTTATTGCTTCAACTTTGTCCAGACATGAAGGATGACATCGTTTATTTCTTTGCATTTTATAGTATTGATTTTATGCAATGTTTCTTTATTTTGTGCTTGTAAGTAAGCTGTTCATGTAGGTACTATTGCGTTATGGGAATGAAGAACAACTACATGAATGGCTTATTCCATTGCTTGAAGGGAAGATTCGATCTGGATTTGCAATGACAGAACCGCAGGTTGCATCTTCTGATGCAACCAATATTGAGTGCTCTATTAAAAGGTATTTTTTTGCAGCATTTTTGTAAAGAAGTTAAAACTTCTGAATGGTGATTCTGATAGCAACCCCCTTTTTAAGATAGAAAAAGGTGGAAAATCTATAGGCAGTATATTTCATTTTTTTCATCTTAGATTAACCTGTGATTCATATGGTCCTCTGGCTTAAATAATTTATAGATGTCTATGTACTTCTTCAGACAAGGGGATTCATATATTATCAATGGAACCAAATGGTGGACCAGTGGAGCCATGGACCCTAGGTGCAGAATTCTTATAGTCATGGTTAGTACAAGTATGGCATGGCTGGAGTATTTTTATTAACTTTTCATCTAATTGCCAGTAATGATCTGATCAATATGCAGGGAAAAACTGACTTCTCTGCCCCTAAGCATAAGCAGCAGTCAATGATCTTAGTGGATATACGAACTCCAGGCATACACATTAAGAGACCACTCACAGTGTTTGGTTTTGATGATGCACCTCATGGACATGCGGAAATTTCATTTGACAATGTATGTGTGCCAGCAAAGAATATTCTACTGGGAGAAGGCCATGGGTTTGAGATTGCCCAGGTAAAGTTGTTCTTTATCTTCAGTGCTAACATGATGGATTTGTTTTTGCATTTCGCTTGGCACTTGCCTTCCATATTATTTCTTGAATTTATTCCTTTTGGGAGGATGTTTTGGATTTGGGGGATTTTCTAGGTGAAGTTGTTTATGCCTTGACTAAAGTGTGAAGATGAGATTCAAATTTTGATCCCAATGTTATATAGTAGATATGTGCTGTACAGGCACGTCTTGAACCCAGGAGTCTGAAGATTACATTTGTGACATGTCTCTTAAGAAAAATAGAAAAGGTTGCTGAATTTATTTCTCAACCAAGTCTGAGACTCAGGCAATGTGGCTATTAGATGAGTTTTGTGACTGGAACTGGAATAGGGACTGTGTTGACCCCACAAGATAATTTTTTTATATCTTATACTGTTTACTTTCTTACAGGGTAGACTAGGCCCAGGAAGGCTGCATCATTGCTTGAGACTGATCGGAGCAGCTGAGCGTGGCATGCAGTTGATGGCTCAGAGGGCTCTTAGCAGAAAAGTTTTTGGGAAATTTATTGCTGAGCATGGTTCTTTCCTTTCAGATATTGCCAAGGTAATCTCATTTTTAGCTCCCGATTGGAGATAATTCCTGAAAAATTTTGCTGTCAAACACTCAAAAAGGAATTAATACTGTCCTAAACACCTGGGAGAAGGAATTTCACATGGTATTATAAACCAAATAGCTTCATTGTGCTTGTTTGATAATGCCCTTGGTGTTTGTAAATGGCCATGGATGCAGTGTCGAATAGAAGTGGAGAGAACCAGATTGTTAGTGCTGGAAGCAGCTGACCAGCTCGATCGGCTTGGAAATAAGAAAGCCCGTGGAACCCTCGCAATGGCCAAGGTGAACACCATTTGAATGCAGGAACTGAATCCAAGTTCATTATTTTCTTTGATATCTCAATCAGCCACGTAAGATATGTGTGAATTTTCTTTAATAATGGTTTTGATGTTGCACGGAGCAGGTAGCAGCTCCAAACACGGCACTAAAAGTCCTGGACATGGCAATCCAAGTGCATGGTGCAGCTGGTGTATCATCCGACACCGTTCTGTCACATCTCTGGGCCGCAGCAAGAACTTTGAGAATCGCAGATGGACCTGATGAAGTCCACTTGGGTACCATTGCCAAGTTAGAGTTACAGAGAGCTAAGCTTTGAAAATCGAAGAGAGGGATAACGAATTATCTGTACCAATTTTTTTTTTATTTTTTTTTTTTTAATTTTCTGTAAAGAGAGGGAAAAGGCTATAAAATACTTCGAAATGGGGAAGTCGTATATTTCTGAAACGACAGAATGAGACCAAACAATAATCACCAGACACTGGGATGAACGAAACAAATAAATATGGAGTCATCTGCGTTTGATTTCGAGCATTAACGTATTGTTATAGGTACAAGTGCTTTATATTAATTTCTAGAAACTAAAGGAAATTTGGTATTAAGATTTAAGATAAAGGAAAATGTTATATTTACAATTTTTTTTTATAAATTTTCTTTTACAATGTGGTAGTTAACAATTAGTCAGTTTATAATAAGTGTTATTTAGGTCTTATCTGATAAATTATAATTGATAAATTATATACTGTTATGTTGTAATGATGAGAAGATTCAAAGTGAGAAGAGAAGAGGCTTTAAGTGTAATATTATTTAAAGATAAAAGGCTCCCTTACCCTTTACCAATCGTCTGCACATCAAATTTAGGACCAAAATAACACATCAAATTTAGGACCAAAATAAAAACAAGTATATACACTGGACAAGTGTTGACATTACCAACCCTTGATTATTTGTTCTCCCCTAAACTTTCCCTGCCCCAAGTTTGTTAACAGAAACTAACCCTTTTAAAGCTACTCTATTCTTGTCTTACCTATTTAAGTAAAACTTCATGTTTCAACATCTTCAACACAGAGCCCAGGCCAGGGGCCATCTACAATAGAAACAGTAAAACAATTAAGAGGCCACCCCAACTGCTCTGTATTTATATTAAAAAGAAATGGTGCATAAGAAGACCATTATTATTAGATTGTGCGCTGTGATGTTGATAGCCATGGTGGTGGCTGTTGCGGTTGGTGTTAGCCGCAGAGGTGGCAGTCATCCACCTAGTCAGGTTGCCACTACATCAAAGGCTATCAAAGCCATTTATCAACCAAATGATTACAAACAAACTTGTGAAGATAGCCTCAACATTCAGGGTGCAAACTTGACCAACCCTAAAGACTTGATCATGGTTAGGTTTGAAGCCGCAATTGATGAGCTGAAGCTGGCCGTTAAAAACACTTCTGCATGGAAAAATGCAAATAAAGATCCAAAGGTTAAAAGGGCTTTTGAGAATTGTAATGATCTTTTGGAGGATGCCATTGAAGATCTCAATGTCTCCTTCAGTCAGATGGATAAAGTTGATTTTAGCAAATCTGATTATCACATTCAGAACGTGAAAGTTTTTCTCAGCGGTGCTGCCACATTCCAAGAAATTTGCTTAGATGAATTCGATAACGTAACGGGTGATTTTGGAGAGAAAATGAAAAAGCTTTTGAATACTGCAAGGCAGCTCACAAGCAATGGTCTTGCGATGATGGATGATTTCTCTGCAGCCCTCGACTCATTACACGTTCAAATCACAAAGAGACGACTTCTCTCTACAAAGGAATTCCCTCCATGGATTAACGAGCGGCGTCGTAGACTCTTTGCTGAAACTCCAGGAACAATTCGAGCTGATGTTATTGTAGCTCAAGACGTAGTGGCAAGTTCAAGACCATCTCTGAAGCTCTCAATCTTGTCCCTGTCGACAAGAAAAACCCTACCAATAAGACATTTGTCATTTACATCAAAGAAGGAATTTATAAAGAGAAAGTCACCGTCACCAAGTACATGCCCAATGTTATGTTCATCGGCGATGGCGCCCAGAAGACCAAGATCACCAGCGATAAGAACTTCATTGATGGAACCAACACAATGGACTCGGCAACAGTTGGTAAAAACTCAACTTTCTGTTTTAACATATGATCTTTAGGGCAAACGTTAACAAAATTTTATTATCATTGCAGCCGTATTGGGACCCAGTTTCATAGCGAAGGACATTGGATTTGAGAACACTGCGGGAGCTGAGAAGTACCAAGCTGTGGCCTTGCGTGTTCAAGCTGACCGTTCAATCTTCTACAACTGCCAAATGGATGGATAACAAGACTCTTTTCGCTCCTGCTCATCGCCAATACTACAGAGACTGCACCATCACTGGCACCATTGACTACATCTTTGGTGATGCAGTTGCCGTTTTCCAGAACTGCAAGATGATATTCAGGAAACCAATGGCCGACCAAGCCGTCATCGTTACAGCTCAAGGAAGAAGCGATAAGAACTCAGTCACAGGAATTGTTCTCCAAAACTGCACCATCACTGGTGACCCTGAATACGTGAAGGTGAAGGACACTAACAAGGGGTACCTTGGCAGGCCCTGGAAATTGTTCTCAAGAACAATTTATTTGCAGTCTGAGATTGAAGATGTGATTCAGCCCGATGGATGGTTGCCGTGGAATGGTAACTTTGCTCTTGACACTTGTTGGTACGCAGAATATGGCAACAGGGGTCTTGGTTCTGACACGGCAAAGAGAGTTACATGGCCTGGTATTCAAAAACTGAGCCCTCAGCAAGCTACAGATTTCACCGTCGAGAAGTTCGTTGGAGTTGATTGGATCAAGACCAGTGGTGTGCCCTTCAACAGTGGAATGTTCTAATTTTCAACGCGGCGAATTAATTGAAGAGTATATATGATAGCTTTAATTACAGTTTATGTTTACATAAATGGGTAGTTGGCTTACAAATCAAGGAGAAATAACTTCTTGATTTGAGTAATTTAGCTTAGGATTAATTATTAGTTCGAGGATAAGATAATTAATTTAGTGAGAGGAATTAATTTGTAAGTTTGTGTATTAAAAAGTGAGTTAATATGTATTACGATCTGTTTTACTTTATTATTGATCATAGTAAGGTATTTGATTTGGATAAAGACGTTAACATTTAAAAAAAAAAAAAAAAAATTATATGAAAATTATCTAAATGATAAAAGAGTTGAGTAATTGTATGCTTTAGTTTTAAGTCCATATATACTTATTGTCATGATCCCACATTGGAAGTACATCGAGGAGGTCTTAGGTTTATAATAGGAGAGTCCATCTATCTAATAGGTTAGTCTTTTGGGTATAAAACTCCCCTCTTGTCATAGTTGGTATCAAAACAAACCCAACCTAATAGGATTACGCATTAGGGAGGTCACAGAGCAAATACTACGTTACAAGATTGCGCATTAGAGAGGTATTGGGCTTATAAAGAGGGGAGTCCCTCCACCTAATAAGTTGGCCTTTTGGATGTGAAACTCGTAACACTTGGCGTTATTCTCATTCTTTTATGCAAACCCAAAAGATTTCCTAAAAATATTATTAAGAAGAGACTATTCAGCACAACATAAAAAGATATAAATTAAGAAATTTTTTAGTAAACCCCAAACAATAATGGTGAAGCATAACACAAATACAAATCTAAAGGTGGCTAATTCATATAATATGAAGTTGACAATTTCATTCACAATACTCTTGAGAATTTCTAGGAGAGGTTCTTTCTCTCTTAAATTCTTTATTTTACATTGAGTAATTCTATACTACATGAAATTCTAAAGTTTTGATATCAAAGTATTGTGTTTACGTGGAGTCGATATATCATTTATCACATTAACTCTTATTTATACATAAAAACTATTAAGACGAAATAACTTTTTATTTACACCTTAAAAATCACTTGGATCTATGAAATATTAATTGAAATGAGAAATTTGTGATATCACTAAAGATGTATAATATCTTCGTTTTATATTTTATATTTGAGAAAATGTCGTAGTTTTGGTGGTTTAGAGTTTGATCATATGTACAAGTTACAACAGGAAGGTGAAAAGTTGGTAAAACTGCTTGAGACCCGAATCTATTATATGTTTTTGGGTTTATATCTATTTCTAATCGGGTTGAGGTCGGGTTATCACAATCTTTTATAATTGGGTTGAGTAAAACTGGGTTAAACAGCTCCTCCCTTGTAGTCAGATGGTAAACCCTTTAACCAACTGGAGTTAACTATATTCGAAGAGTCTTATATTTGGGTCGCATGAAAAATATCTATTATATTTGTGCAATTATCTTAGTCTATTCGTAGGATATTCCGTAACCTTAAAGATTAGACAAACTCTAATATAGATTTGGATACCTCAATTACCTTAAAAAAACCAAAAATATATATATATGGGTTAGGCTGGAATGAGTAAGAACCCAATCCATCTAAAAACCAGTTCACTCAAACTGGTTAGAACTGGAAAAATACTATTCACAATAAATAATACAACTGAAAACCGGTTGGCCTTTTAATTAACTTCTGAGTTTTGTTAGTGTTTCTGGTTTTCGTTGGAAAGCAAAGGCATTAATTGGGTTAATGTTGCTAATCTTAAATCTTCTATATCTCGTAAACTTTTGTTAGTAAGTATTTAACAGGAGCCCATAATTTCAGCTCAAGTTACTCCTTATCGTTATTCTCTTAAACAGCCTAAAACAGATCTTTTTTTGCCCTCTCTATATAAGAAAAGCTCCATTATTCAACATCATCATCAACACAGAGCCCGAGGGGAATTCAAGAATCTGATAAGTATTCAAACCATTAAACGAAAACCCTACTGCTCTGTACATCTTGCAGTCACCATAAAGAATTTTTGTAAACTCAATTCCATACCCAAAAACAATATAAACCAACATCACTCAACAAAAAAATGAAGAAGAAGAACATTGTTATTAGTGTGTCCGCTGTGATCTTGGTAGCCATGGTGGTGGCTGTTACGGTTGGTGTTAGCCGCAGAGGTGACGGCAACAATGGCGGTAGTCAAGTTTCCAGTATGTCAAAGGCTATTAAAGTCATTTGTCAACCAACTGATTACAAAGAAACTTGTGAAAAGAGCCTTAACGCTCAGGGTGGAAACTTAACCGACCCTAAAGACTTGATCAAGGTTGAGTTTAAAGCAGCAATTGATGAGTTGAAGCTGGCCGTTAAAAACACATCTGCATGGAATAATGCAAATAAAGATCCAAAGGTCAAACAGGCTTTTGAGAATTGTGATGATCTTTTGGATTCAGCCATTGAAGATCTCAATATCTCCTACAGTAAATTGGGTGCACTTGACTTCAGTAAAGTTGATGGTTACATTCAAGACGTGAAAGTTTTTCTCAGCGGTGCTGCTACATTCCAAGAAAGTTGCTTGGATGAATTTGAAAACGTAAAGGGCGATTTTGGCGAGAAAATGAGAAGGCTTTTGAATACTTCAAGGGAGCTGACAAGCAATGGTCTTGCAATGATGAATGATTTCTCTTCGGTCCTCAACTCGTTGAACATAACAAGCACAAAGAGACGGCTTCTCTCTCGTGATGAATTTCCTTCATGGCTTAATGAGGGCCGCCGTAGACTCCTTGATGAAACTCCAGGAACAATCCAAGCTGATGTTATTGTAGCTCAGGACGGCAGTGGCAAGTTCAAGACTATTTCTGAAGCTCTAAATCTTGTCCCGGACTTCAAGAATAACCCTACCAATAAGACATTTGTAATTTACATCAAAGAAGGAATTTACAACGAGTACTTGACAGTCACAAAGTATATGCCAAATGTTATGTTCCTCGGCGATGGCCCCCTAAAGACCAAAATCACTGGCAACAAGAACTTCATTGACGGAACCAAGACAATGAACACGGCAACAGTTTGTAAGTTTGTTACAATATTGAAACTCAAAATTCAGCTTAACATTTATGATACTTAACAATGTTTTGTTAATATTTGCAGCCGTATTGGGGCCCAATTTCATAGCGAAGGACATTGGTTTTGAGAACAGTGCAGGAGCTGAGAAGCACCAAGCTGTGGCCTTGCGTGTTCAAGCTGACCGTTCAATCTTCTTCAACTGCCAATTGGACGGATACCAAGACACTCTCTACGCTCATGCTCATCGCCAATACTACAGAGACTGCACCATCACTGGCACCATTGACTACATCTTTGGTGATGCAACTGCCGTTTTCCAGAACTGCAAGATGATATTCAGGAAACCAATGGCCAACCAAGATGTCATCGTTACGGCTCAAGGAAGAAGCGATAAGAACTCAGTCACAGGATTTGTTCTCCAAAATTGCACGATCACTGGTGACCCTGATTACGTGGCCGTAAAGGACACTAACATGGGGTACCTTGGCAGGCCCTGGAAGTTGTTCTCAAGAACAATTTATTTGCAGTCTGAGATTGAAGATGTGATTCAGCCTGATGGATGGTTACCTTGGGATGGTAACTTTGCTCTTGACACTTGTTGGTACGCTGAATATGGCAACAGGGGTATTGGTTCTGACATGGCAAGGAGAGTTACATGGCCTGGTATTCATAAGCTCACTCCTGAGCAAGCTGCCGATTTCACCGGCGAGAAGTTCTTTGTGGTCGATTGGATTAAGCCCACCGGTGTGGCGTACAACGCTGGCACGTTCTGATTTTTAAAGCTGAAGATTGAAGAGAATGAAGAGCTTATTGCTAACTTAATTAATTAAAGTTAATGTTTACTTAATTAAGTAGTTGGTCTGCGAATCAAGGTGGAATCACTTCCTGATTTGAGTATTTTAAATTTGGATTAATTATTAATAATTCAACAATTAATACGTAATTTAAAAGTGAGATTGAGTTGGTTAATGTATATATCACATCTTATAGTGAAGGTAATTAGATGTTGTGTGTTGTTGTTTGTTTGACTACTATTATTGACTAATATAACCTACTTTTATTTCACTAAAAAATCAGTTTTCTTTCAGTTTCTCCTCAATTTTCTCAGAAAACAAACAGTTAAAAAAATCCCTAGTTTCCACACTTTATTTATGCCTATTAATTTCCACCCGAAAATCAAAAACCCTAATCGGAATCGAAATAAATTGCAATTACAATGCGAAGTCGAGTTAAGAACCAAACATCGAGGTGGCTACTTCTAATGGTAGCCGTTTCACGGTGCACCAAAAGTGTGATCTACAGGCTAACCAGGAAGCTGATCTGGCCAGGTAGATGAAGACTATCTCTTGAAAGTTGGCTCTTGTTAAACTAACGACCCCAACATGATCCGAATCATATCCCCATGAATTTCACTAGTCTTTTAACTTACTTATTTTTTTTTTTTTTTTTTTTTTTTATTTTCAATCTGAATCGTAGCAAGGGAAAGCACATTCTGAGTTTGGTAAAGGAAATAAACCAAACGGTCACATCTCATATTTAATTTAATTCAATAAGAATATTTCATATTTAATTTAATTACCTAAGAATATGTTTGGTGAGCATATTGTATAATATAACTTGTATTGTATGCATAATACCATACAATACTATACCAAACAATGTAGAATGTTTGGTACATCATTGTATTGTATTAATTTATCTTGAAAAAGATTTAATTATTAAAAAATAAATTATTTTTACTTTTAACTCAAATCTAAATTAATTTTTGAAAAAATTAAAACAATAAAGAAAAAGAATTTTTTATTAACGCTGATAAATCAAAAAAAAATTATTAACGTGATTTTAAATCAATAATGATCTACTTATTTTAAAGTATTTCATTAAATTATTAAAAAGTAGATGAAATAATGCAATATATGCCTTAACCCACCCTTTTACTTGGTATTAATTAGTAGAGTGAACGACTTTTTCCCACCCAAGGTTTGCCTTAATGACACTTTTCCACCCTAAAAATTTCAAAATACCACTTTCCCACCCAAAGTCACTATTCTATTATTACCCAAAGCTGATTCAGGCTGATTCTAATAGCAAAATTATCTTTGTCACCACCATTTAAACCTTTGGTATCCTCTCTACAACTCATCTTACTCTAATACCTGATTTCTTATCGATTGTCAATCATCGCAAAGTTAGGATTTCCTGTTCTTAGCTAATTTCTAGCTGATTCCGACGGCAAATATCCAAACGGTCACCACCACTAGATTCATTAGCCTCCACTATATAAAACCCCTCTTACCCTAGCTTCTGATAACTCGTCAAACATCAGCTAAGAAAGTAAAATGTATTTTGAGCATTAATGAAATACAAATTTTATGTGGGAAAATGGTATTTCGAAATTTTTTTGATGGAAAAGTGTCATTAAGGCAAACCTTGGGTGGGAAAAAGTCGTTTGCTCTAATTAGTACAATTTCGGGTGCGTTTGGTGTAGTATTTTGGATAGGATTTTGAGGATAGTATTGGATTATTTGATAGGGGAGTATTACGAGATAAATTTAAAAAATTTATGAAAAAGCCCTTAGGTTTACTAATTTAATTAAAGACCCTATTATATAAAATGACAAAAATACCCCCACCACCTGCAGTGTTAGATTCCGGCCACCACTGTCGGAATCTGGCCGAAAAATTTCGTTACGGCACAGACCAATCGGATATGTGCCGTAACGCATCATTATGGCCTTTTCCGGCCAGATCCACCACGGATTTGGCTAGAAAAGGCCAGATCTACGACCTGTTATGGCCGTCGACGGTCGGAAAGGCCAAAACGACGACCAAAGATGTGGCTGTCGTTTTCGGTCAACGACGGCCAAGATTTGGCCATCGCTGACCACGGATCTGGCTGGAAAAGGCCAGATCGGTGTAATTCCGGCCATTTATGGTTAGAATTTAGGCCGTTGTACAGATTCCGGCTATCACTGGCGGTGGTTGCCGGAATCTGACAAGTTGGGTTGATGGGGGGGTTTTTGTTAATTTTTAAAAAAAAAATTAGGGGGCATTTAGTGAAATTAATAACCTTATGGGGTCTAAAAGTAATTAAAAATAGGATAATATTTTTGGAATAGTGTGCCAAACATTATTTGGAGAATATAATTGGGAATATGGATAAAAATAGGGAGCCAAACGCACCCTTCATTTACATGGTATTAATTAATACAATAGATAGGGTTAAAAATTAACTGTGTATTGTTTTAGTTAAATTAATACAATGTAAAATTTCTACCAAATATTGTATAGTATTATTTGGTACTATAAGATATGCCTTTTAAACTACCCAATGCTATGCACCAATAATACCCCAAAATCATGGAAAGTCATATCATCTTCACTCATAAGATGTCTGTCTATAACACTAAAAATAAAAATTATGAAAAATAGTTTTGAAAATTGGTTTGCTTTTCATTTTAAAACATTTACCTGTAATTGTTAAATTTGGTTAGTGTTGTGTGGTTTTTGTTTGGACATAAAGTCAACAATGACTTGGAGTTGCAGTTCTATGTCTGGTAAAATTTTGTTGGCAACTAATTTAACAGCACTAATGAAACTAAACCATGGATTTCTTTTCTATTTCTACGGTAATTGTTGTCATCTCCTGAAACCAGTCTTTTATTGTCCTCTCTATTTAAGCAAAAGCTCTCCTCAAAATCATCAGGACACAACCCAGCTCTGATAAGCACTAAAACAATTGAAATAGAGCTCCGACCACAAACAATTTCTGAAACTCAATATAAACCAACCTCACTTAGTTTTGTATATATAATTAAAAAAAAAAATATGGTTCAGAAGAAGAAGATTGGAATTATTAGTGTAACCGCTTTAATCTTTGTTGCCATGGTGGTGGCTATCGTGGATAGTGTTATCCGTAGAGGTACCGGCGACGGTGGCGATCTTTCAACTAGTCACGTTACCGCTACATCAAAGGCTATCAAAGCCATTTGTCAACCAACTGATTATAAAGAAACTTGTGAAAAGAGCCTCGCAACTGAAGGGGGAAACCTGACCAATCCTAAAGACTTGATTAAGCTTGAGTTTAAAGTTGCAATTGATGAATTGAAGCTGGCCCTTAAAAACACATCCGCAGGGAAAGAAGCAAATAAAGATCCAAAGGTCAAACAGGCTTTTGCGAATTGTAATGATCTTCTGGAGTCAGCCGTTGAAGATCTCAATGTCTCCTACAGTAAAATGGGTGCACTTGATATTGGTAAAGCTGATGGTTACATTCAAGACGTGAAAGTTTTTCTCAGCGGGGCTGCCACATTCCAAGAAAGTTGCTTGGATGAATTTAAAAACGTAAAGGGCGATTTTGGAGAGAAAATGAAAAGGCTTTTGAATACTTCAAGGGAGCTGACAAGCAATGGTCTTGCAATGATGAATGATTTCTCTTCAGTCCTCAACTCATTGAGCATAACAAGCACAAAGAGACGGCTTCTCTCTCGTGATGAATTTCCTTCATGGCTTAATGAGGGCCGCCGTAGACTCCTTGATGAAACTCCAGGAACAATCCAAGCTGATGTTATTGTAGCTCAGGACGGCAGCGGCAAGTTCAAGACCATTTCTGAAGCTCTCAATCTTGTCCCGGACTTCAAGAATAACCCTACCAATAAGTCATTTGTAATTTACATCAAAGAAGGAATTTATAGCGAGTACGTGACAGTCACAAAGAAAATGCCAAATGTTATGTTCATCGGCGATGGCCCCCTAAAGACCAAAATCACTGGCAACAAGAATTTCATTGACGGAACAAATACAATGAACACAGCAACAGTTGGTAATTTATTTAAAATGTTAAAAACTAAACTTACTGTTTTAAGTTTATTAACGTATGACCTTCAGGGTGTTTAACAAAATATTGGTAATATTGCAGCCGTATTGGGGCCCAATTTCATAGCGAAGGACATTGGATTTGAGAACAGTGCGGGAGCTGAGAAGCACCAAGCTGTGGCCTTGCGTGTTCAAGCTGACTGTTCAATCTTACTCAACTGCCAAATGGACGGATACCAAGACACTCTCTACGCTCATGCTCATCGCCAATACTACCGAGACTGCACCATTACTGGCACCATTGACTACATCTTTGGTGATGCAGCTGCCGTTTTCCAGAACTGCAAGATGATATTCAGGAAACCAATGGCCAACCAAGCCGTCATCGTCACAGCCCAAGGAAGAAGCGACAAGAATTCAGTCACAGGACTTGTTCTCCAAAACTGCACCATCACTGGTGACCCTGAATACGTGAAGGTGAAGGATACTAACAAGGGTTACCTCGGCAGGCCCTGGAAGATGTTCTCAAGAACAGTTTATTTGCAGTCTGAGATTGAAGATGTGATTCAGCCCGATGGATGGTTACCTTGGGATGGTAACTTTGCTCTTGACACTTGTTGGTACGCGGAATATGGCAATAGGGGTCCTGGTTCTGACACGGCAAAGAGAGTTACATGGCCTGGTATTCATAAGCTCACTCCTGAGCAAGCTGCCGATTTCACCGTCGAGAAGTTCTTTGTGGTCGATTGGATTAAGCCCACTAGTGTGCCTTACAACTTTGGCATGTTCTGATTTTCAATGCTGCTGATTGAAGAGGATGAAGATTGGAAGAGCATGCTACCTTTATTATAGTTATACATGTTAACTCAATTAGCTAGTTGCTTTACAAAATCAAGGAGGAATTGCTTCTTGATTTGAGTAATTTAACATTGTTTCTTTCTTCGCATTGATGATTAATTCAATAATAAAAGTGTTGGGTTTTGAATCAAATTTTTTTTCACAAATGATAGTTCTCAGACTAACTAATATAAAACAATGAAGCAATCACAAATTTAAGATGCAAGAGATCAACAAGCAAGAAACATTCAAAAAACTGGTAATTAAAGTAAAGAAAAATAAGATCGACACAAAAGATTATAGTGCTTCGACTTTAAAGCCTACATCCACTTTTCAAGGTACAAATAAGATGTCATTACTACCAAAGTCGAGTAAGGAATTTTACAGAGTATTGAACAAGAATAAACAAATCAACAAGGAAAGAATACAACCAAAGAAAACCTAGATTTCTTGTATTTTCCTTACTGCAAATCCACATCAAATAGAACGATATACACCCAAGAGTCATCTCCAGGATCAGGCTCCACCTGGATCAAAAAGATTTCCAGCCGTAAGATGAGTAACATAATTATTCTTCTCCTATTAGCATGTTCCAAAATGAACAAGAGATAGACAATGAGAGAGAAAGAAGGATCAAACGCCACAAAAACAATTTGTAGCCCAAACTTAAATGACATCGCTCTAGCCTTTGATCTATAACAATAAATTGACTCCACCGTGGCAAAACATAAGCCACATCACCACAATTCTCCATCTTGGCTTTGTTTTGACACCCTATTTGGCCTTGAAAATAAGCTTAGATTATGTAACATTAAGAAGGCTCATACAAAGCCTTTGTTTGTCAGCAGTAACAGGTTTTGTAAGCATGTCTATTGGGTTATGAGAACCATCCACCTTTTCAACCTTAATTTCACCTCTATCAATCATCCCTCTAATAAAGTGGAGTCGAACATCAACATGCTTAGTTCATTCGTGAAATACTTGATTTTTACACAGATGTATGACACTTTGACTGTCGCTGTAAACAACCACTACCGTCTGTTCTAAACCTAGCTCAGTCACAAAACCCTTTAGCCACTTTGCTTCTTTTGCAGCCTCTGTTAATGCCACATACTAGGATTTAGTAGAAGATAATGTAACCATTTATTGCAGTTTAGACTTCCAACTAACAACATTTCCCCATACTGTAAAAACAAAGCCAGAAGTTGATTTTCTTTTATCAACATCACTAGCTTAGTCTGCATCAACAAATCCTTCAACACAGTAGTTTTCTTTCTGATTTCTTCTATACATTATACCTACTAAACTAGTCCCCTTTATGTACCTCAAGATCCATTTCAATGCAAACCAATGAATCTTCCTTGGATTACTCATGAACCTACTCACAATACTTACTGAGTAGGCCAAGTCGGGTCTTAAACATATCATCAATTACATGAAACTGCTCAGCACATTTGCATAAGGAACTGATGACATTTCAAGTTTTTTTTCTTCAGATTAAGGACTTTGATCATGAGAAAACTTAAAATGTTGACTAAGAGGTGTTTGGACAGCCTTTGCATCCTTCATATTGAACTTCTACAGAATCTTTTAAGCATAATTTTTCTGAACCAGCTTCAGACTTTCGTGAACTCTGTCTCTGATAATTGAAATCCCAAGTATCTTTTGAGTCTGACCTAGTTCTTTCATCTCAAACTTGGTGTTCAGAATCTTTTTCAACCAAGACAGCTCAGATTGTTCATGGCAAGCCATAAGCATATCATCCACATACAAAAGCAGGAAAATGTAAGTCATTTAAGAAATTCTTTTAAAATATAAATAACTATCATAATTGCACCTATTAAACCTGGTTCAATCATAAAGGAATCAAACTTTTTGAACCACTGTCGTGGTGATTATTTCAAACCATATAAGGATTTTTTTTTAAGAAGACAAACTTTACCTGCAACATCTCTATACCCTTTTGGTTGCTCCATCAGAATGGTCTCTTCCAAATCTCCATGTAAGAAAGTTATCTTCACATCCAATTGTTTTAGTTCTAGGTTAAATTGGACAACAAGTGACAATAGAATTCTGATAGATGAATGCTTGACAACTGGAGAAAAAATCTCATTATAATCTATGCCCTCCACTTGTGTAAACCACTTTGCGACTAGCTTTACCTTATACCTTGGTGACTCATTCGGGTTTAATCCAGATTTTCTTTTAAAAGTCCATTTGCACTTGACCACTCTACAATTTCTTGGCTTATCTATTAAAATCCAGGTTTCATTCTTTATCAAAGAGCAAAACTCTTCTTCAATTGCTTTAAGCCATTGCAATTTTCCAAACCCTGACACAGCCTCTTGGAAGGACTTGGGTTCATCTCTCATTTCTTCTTCAACTTGTAAAACATAAGCAACCATATCAGCATACACTAACCTATTTGGAGGTCTGATTACTCTTCTAACTCTATATCTTGATAGTTGGTAATTAGTCAGCCCTAACTCATCATCGTGATTCAACTGTTCAACTTCAAATTCACCAATTTGATCACCCACAAAATTTTCAAGATTATCTTCCTTAGCTTGGATCTCATTGTCATTACCTCTACCTTGATTCACAGTTTGATCAACTTTGGAGTTTTGAAATTCTTGAAGTTCTAGTTCTAAGTAATCTAATCTTGATGGACTGCCCTTTGAGTTTTTAGAATCCTTTTCAAGACCAGGTATGACTTCTTCTTTAAAAACAACATCCTTGTTAATGATACATTTCTTAGACTCTAAGTTCCAAAGTTTATAGCCTTTACACCATCTGGGTATCCTAAGAAAATGCATTTAATGGTTCTAGGTTTTTATTTATCTTCTCTAACGTGGACATAAGTTAGACATCCAAAAACTCTAAGATTTTCTAGTTTTACAAGATGACCAAATCACTTCTCTAGAGGGTCCCTAAAATCTATTATTGAAGATGGTGTTCTGTTGATTAGGTAGATTGTTGTGTGCTGCCTCTGCCCAGAATTTGAATGGTAGCCTAGAACTAGACATGGTGCTCCTAACCTTTTCTAAAATGGTTCTGTTCATCCTCTCACAAAGACCATTTTGTTGTGGGATATTCCTTACTGTTTTGTGTCTCACAATTCCATGTGTCCTACAGAAACTGTTAAATTCTTCATTTACAAACTCTAGACCATTATCAGTCCTAAGTTTCTTCAACTTATTTCCAGTTTGTGTTTCTATCATGACTTTCCATTCCTTAAACCTAGAGAATCTTTCATCCTTGGTTTTAAGAAAGTAGATCCACACATACCTAGAAAAATCATCAACAAAACTAATGAAGTATCTACATCCTTCGAGTGAGTAGTGTCTGGATGGCCCCCAAACATTTAAGTGAACATACTCAAGTGGTGAACTTGAGTAGTGTTGACCAGATCCGAACTTAACTCTACTCATTTTTCCAAAGACACAATGTTCACAGAAAGTTAGACTTCCAATTTTATCCCCACACGACAAGTTTTGCTTGTTTGATTCTACTAAGCCCTTGACACTAATATGTGCAAGTTTTTGATGCCACAATGAAGTTCTATCTTGAAATTCTAATGACCCAACAACAGCAACCCCACTCTCCACTCTACCTTTTAACAGATATAATCTATTTCTTTTCTCAGCTTTCATAACAACTAGAGATCATTTCATTACACTAAGACTACCATTTGCAGCCTTACAATTAAACCCATTAGAATCTAGGGTTCCTAGTGAGATTAAATTCCTTTTCAGGTCAGGAATATATTTAACATCAGTGAGGGTTTTAGTTACACCACTTTGAAGGTTTAGCTTAACTGTACCTATACCTTTTATATGACACACAACATTATTCCCCATCATAACTTTCCCACCATCTAAAGGTTGAAATGAGATGAACCATTCTCTGTTTGGTGTCATGTGGTAGGTATACCCTGAGTCTAGGATCCATTCCTCACTAGTTTTACCCTCAGAAATAGCTAAAACCACTGCATTTTCATATCCCTCAAATGCTACACCAGCATTGACTCCCTCACTATCTCTTTTAGGTTTCTTCTTGCTCTTTCTCTCAGGACAATCTCTCCTAAAATGACCCTCCTTATGTCAAAAGAAGCATTTTCTATTCCCTGGTCTAGATTTTGACCTGTTCCTATTTTGTCCTCCTTTTTTTTCTAATTCTTCCTTTCTGCTCTCCCTCTGACATTAAAGCCTTCACCATCACCACTATTTTTATCTCTCATCCTATTTTCACTATCTTTGGCAGAAATAGCCTCCACTACCTCTTCTAACTTCAGTGTTTGTCTACCATATTTCAAGGTTTCCACAAAATTAGAATATGATTTAGGTAAGGCATTCAATAAGATTACTGTCTGATCCTCATCGTCAATATCTACAGAAATACTTTCTAGATCTTGAATCACTTTCAAAAAAATCATCTTTGTTATCTTTCAATGATTTCTGCTCATCCATTTTAAAGCCAAACAACCCCTTCTTTAAAAATAATCTATTAGGGACAGTTTTAGATTGATAGAGAGAGTTTAACCTAATCCAGATTTCAGCAGTTGTCTTCTCCTTCTTGACCTCCCGAAGGACTTTGTCATTCAGTCCAAGGATCAAGGAGCTTTTGGCTTTGTCCAGCATTTCCTGCTTCTCGAAATCTGTCATAGTCTTAGGGAATTCAGTCTCTTCTTTTAGGGCTAGGGCTAGCCCTTCCTTGATCAGTACTGCTTCCATCTTCATTTTCCACAAACCAAAATCATTCTCACCTGTAAACTTTTCAAGTTCAAACTTAGTGGACATGATTCAACTTTAGCCTAAGAAACTAATCACAGAAAACTCAAAACAAAAGAATACTTTACGAAGCCCTGAACTAGGCTCTAATACCAATCTGTTGGGTTTTGAATCAAGTTTTTTTTCACAGATGATAGTTCTCAGACTAACTAAAATAAAAACAAG